CCCCGACGTCAGCTGTCACGTGAGAGCTGCCTCCTCAGGGAGTCAGGAGCCGCTCACCCTGCCCCCTCCTGGGTTTTTTGATGGTTTTTCTGTGATTTTGCCGCTGTGGCAATCGCCTCTCTCTCTAGAGCTAGCACCCGGCTGCAGTACTCACCGGTCCTGCTGCTGGATCTCGCCGAATTATTAGTGTTTATTACTTAATTTATGTTCTTTTGGGTATTTGCTTATGGTTTGTAACCATTCTAATAATTAGATGATAAATAAGATTATTAGAATGCTCAATGGTTATCACAGTATAACAGGTTTTTTCCAGCAGGTTGGTTGATAAGTGGGGTGGAAACAAATAGTATTTTCTTTTGTTTGTACGATTGCTGTTGAGTTTCTGGAAACCGTCAAGCCAACCTTAATGTTTATTATGCATTTTATTGTATTTTTGCAGAGCTGCAATGAATAACATTCAGCAATTGATTATGATTTTAAACTCAGCAACTGATAAACCATCAGATACTCTCATCGTGTATTTCAATGTAAGTGACTAGAAGGAAGATTTGTGAAAGATTCTTGGAATTATCACTCAAGTAAAATATACACTTAGAGATCTGATGCACATGTTTTGGGAAACTCCTGTATTAACAGCCATTTCTTCAAGAAGTATATCTTAATTGGGATGGTTTAAATGTAATTACTCATTCTGAAAAGCACTTCTATGTGTCTGGTGTGTACTGGAACCTTACAAGTTCTTAAATCTTTTTGCACTAAAGATTTATTTACGTATGCATCAGATGGAAAAAGGAGGAGATATAAAAGGGAGATAAAGATGGGAAATAGGATATACTCAGAGGTTCTCATGTCCATATTCAGCAACTTGAGCTTATTTCTAACTTTAAAGACATTAACATTGATGGCACTACTTGCGTGTTGCATATTAGTTGCGGCTAGTTGCATATGAGACATGAAGTTGTAGGTACTGGAAATTGTTGAACATATACAGTGATTCTGTCTTTTTTTAAATACTCCACTTTTATTTATGCTGATAAGCTGATTGAGAGACGTTACAAAGTGAAGCAGAACTAATGTGATTAAATCATTAAAATGTTTTTGAAGTAAAATATAATTTCTTTGCCTTTCTTTCTCCTCCTTCCTGTACTTCATTAGAATTGCACTGTGAACCCTAAGGATAGTATCCTGAAAAGAGTGGAAAATCTTGAACACATCTTTAAAAAGAAATTTGCTGAAGCAGTTGGACCAGCATGGGCTGAAATTGGCTCACAGGTAACTAGCATTTTGGTTGAGTATTACTCATTTGAACTCTGCTAGTACTAGCTAGTATGAGACCTGACTTACTGACTGTCCTCCTTCAGTGCAGGTCATTAATAGTAAAAAGTAACAGTATTCTTTTCAGCTTGAGGAATGGACAGGTATTTTTTCTTAAGCGCTGTAAAGATAATATTCAACAAATTATTCCTAATATACAAGGAACAATAGGAACTGAGTGGAAATATGTTGGGAATACTTTAATGAAGAATGGGAAAATCGCTGGCCAAAATATATTTAGTGAAACATATATTTGCATTCATTAAGGTAATGTGGCCTAAAACTGCAAAAGGAGACTCACTTATAAAATCAGTAGGCCAGCTGTGCTTTCAACAAGGATTTTGGAAAACAAATCCAACCAAATTTGTACTCAACAGTCTCCTGTCTGTCAGCCCTGCTTTTTATCCTGTCAGCTGTGAATCAACATAAACACTTGATTAAGTCTTCATGTGGCTGGGGTAGTCACAAACCTTAGTAGCCTTTGAGGCCTCTCCAGTGCTGTTGGTAAATGGAACTGGGGCAGATAACTTCTTTATAGTGGCTATTCCAAAAACCAGAATTGTTCTGAATTGTTAAAACATGAGAGTCTGCTTGTTGTAGTCTGTTAAAACATCCTGTAATCTTGAATTTCTTTTCTGTTAACAGAGATACAAGCTTGGAGTGCGTCTGTATTACAGAGTGATGGAGTCTATGCTAAAGTCGGTAAGTTTACTTCTGTGGTAGCTTAGTACTGGGATTGCATTTACAAATACAAGGAATATTCACCAGTTTGGTTTGATTTATGTATTTCAGGAGGAAGAGCGCCTCTCAGTCCAGAATTTCAGGTATGTACCCCTAACTTGTTATCGAAGTTTTGCTATTATAGTGTTAGGACAAGTAATAATGACTTTGTTTCTCCTCAGCAAACTTCTGAATGATAACATCTTCCACACATCTCTTCTGGCATGTGCTGTTGAGGTTGTCATGGCTACATATGGCAGTAAGTTGAATCTAAAGTTCTAAATAACATTGTTATTTATTGATAATTATTGCCATTTGTTCTAATATATAAAATACAGTGAACAGAAAAAAAAAGGTGCTCATTGTAATTTCTGAACTAGCAATGATTCAGTCAATACAGAAAGGAGAAAACATCAGAAGTGAAAGAATGTAGTATTCTTGATAATTTTAGGCCATTTTCCCTGCAGGAAATGCTTCACAAGGTAATGGTACCAGTGCTGAAACAGACTTGTCTTTCCCATGGATTCTCAGTGTATTTGATTTAAAAGCTTTTGACTTCTACAAGGTGATTGAAAGTTTTATTAAAGCGGAGCCAAGCCTAACAAGGGAAATGATAAAGCATCTCGAACGCTGTGAACATCGAATTATGGAGTCTCTTGCCTGGCAATCTGTAAGTAATGGTTTAAAGTAGTATTTGTCCATGTATAATATGCATATCTAGAAAAAGGAAATCACAACCAGCTCTATAAAATAAATTGTGATCTTGCTGAGATTTATTTCTAGCAAAATAAATTGCAAAAGCAAAACAAGATTAATTTTGGCATGTCTTCAGGCTTTGAAAAACAAAAACAAAAAGAAAAGAATATATTAGAGGCAGAAATTGTCATAGCTCTGCTGATTTATGTGGTTGTAAGCCATCATCATCTTACTACTCTGGCATGGATTGTAAGGCTAATGCCCTTAAATGGTATTTTGGTGCCAAAGATGAAGCAATAAATTCTGTGCTTTTATTTCTAAGTTAATTTTTATCCAGTTGCTAGTCCCACTTAGCAATAGGGCCTTCTGTGCATCTGATAAGTTTGTTAATAGTGCTTAAAACACTGATTCTCATTGTCCTTTGCGCTTCAGTCACTTTAGTATTTTTGGATGCCATTAAAATAAAATGCTGGGAAGCTCGGTTGCTGTTTTTAGGCTGGATCTCAGTAAATCAAATGTTGTTTCATTATATCGTATGTTACTTATAAACCAAAATTGCTGTTAATGCCACAAAGCAGGAGACTATAAAGACTGCTAATTTTGGCCAGAGAAACATAAAGCAGATGTTTAAGAACTCCCTCTCTTAGAGTTCTGGGAAGTTTAAAATACACAGTATGCCATAGCTAATGGGATAGTTTAATAATGAAGAAAGCTTTCTTTTCAGGGTAATCTGCATTTGGTTTGTGTATGACTGCAGAGTGAAAAGTCAACAGTTCACGGGTGATAACTATACCAGGCTGCGGGGTTGTATTCCTAGTTATTCTGTAATGCTTTTGTGTGTCTGGTGTTGGGAAATGCACATGGCCTCTCCGTTGCTATACGAATTTCTTTGTGGTTTTGCCATTCTTTGAATAAGGCTGTCTTGAAAGCACGTGAGACTGAGCGCCTTTTATCAGAGCTTACAGAAACAGGGAAAATGAGACAGGCAGGATTTTAAGAAGCTTGCAGGCATACGGAAAGTGCTTATTTGAGAACTGTAACCTTCAGAGGATGAAAGGCAGAGCTGCAGGTACCTAAGTTTGAGTCTCTACAAGCAAAAAGCAGCTCCTGCTCCCTACTGCAAACCAGTTTGAAGTCAGCTTACTGATCAGTAAAAAGCCATATCTACCAGTTTCTACCCAGTAATTCAAGTACCTCATGCAGATAATTTGATTTGGACTTGGGCTTTCAGACTGGAAAGTGAGAAGCTTTTTGTTTTAAAACACTGAGCGTAGCTGCAGACTTTTCTGAAACAAAAAACAAGCGTCTGATTATTTCAAGTTTTCAGAGTGCTCTGTTTCAATGTATTTTAATGTACTGAATCTATCTTAGAGTTGCCAGAGGTATATATTTGGTACTGTTTTGCGGGGGCTTATATAGCTAATTTGAGTGTTAAAATAATTGTTCAGTTGAAAGGGACCTATAATGATCATTTAGTGCCAGTAAGATATGTGGAGCAGAGCACAGCAAAAGGGATAAAAAGAAATGTGCAGGACACCTATGCAAGGGCCCTTCTGCTTTGTTGGCCTATGCTCCGTGTCTCACCTGGATCTCCCCAGTGCAGGACAGTCTGTGGTCTCCTGTTGCAGAGGGTTTGTCACTAGAGGGCACAGCAGGGCTCCCTCAAAAGCGGAGAGAAGCTGTGACAGTCTGGGTGCAGGCACCCTCTGATTCTGCACTGGCCTCCATTGCAGCCTTCAGCTGCCCATAAGGGAAAGGCTGTGAGTTGTAATCACCAAAGTGCATAGTGGTGGCTCTGGAGATGACAAGTAATGAAACATTGTCTATGCTAAAATGTCTTGTTGAGTCTCTGGGTCCCTGCAGCAAAGGACCTTAGACCCTTACATTGTAAGGCTGCTCACAGAAGTGTAAAACCATGAGTCCTCTAGTGCAGAAAATCCGCCCATGCCTCACGTCTAAATATTGGTGTGTTCCTTCTGAGAAGTCTAATGTATTATCAACAGGAGAAAATGCTTCTGTGGCTGACTTGTAAGGCTGTTGAAGTCAGAGGTTCAGCTGGTGAACGAAGGAGCAGTTTACTGTATTTCTCTGCAGTTCATTACCTGGATATTGTCAGTGTGTAGTGGTGTACAAGGTTTACAAAGTGTCAGCTTAATTAGTAATTCCCTTAAGAAAGGGTAGGCAATTAGGGAAGCGTAGTTTGTACCAGTAAATATCTCTTACCTCCAAGCGCTCAATAAAGGAGGAGAGAAAAGCCAGATGCCTTCTGCTTAGTCATAAAGAATATCTCACCGTAATGCAAATGATTGCTTTGGGTTAATTTTAAACCAATTACCTGATAATCCAAAAGTGATGGAATCTCAAGAAGGTTCAAGTTTCCTAATATGATTAGAGAATGTATTATTTTTAAAAGTGTTAAAATGAAGAGAAGCATGGTATAAGTAAACTATATGCAAAAAAATAAATCTAGCTCAGTAAATAAGAACAGAAGCAGTTGAAAAATACTTATTTGTAAATATTTCCATAATACAACTCTGATTCCCCCAATTTTTTGCCGTGTATTTTTGTTTAGTTCTTACCTTCCTCCACAAGTAGTACATTTCATTACAAGGCTTGCCTGCTCTTGGAAAGTCAGGTTTGTATTTATCCAGTCGTTCCTCATTCTCCTGCCTGCTTTAGGAAGCAGGTCTTCGATATGAGATGTAAAGGGACTGAGCAATTTAATACAGAATAGCTTGAATTTATTGCAGTTTTACCTGTCACAGAGCTTTTGTGAGGAGAACTGCCTTGCATAATTTCTCTGAAGAGAAAAAATCCTAAGTGCATCTGACCTTTATCTGACTTTGGAAGCTGTATTGAATGAATGTGAAGGATTCTGTTTCTCACCCGTATCTGAAGATAATATATCACTCCTTTGCTCTGTGAATATGTTTATTGCTTTTGCATAGCTAGCTGATTTAGTCATCTGTACTTCAGGAAGGTGATGAAACTTTTCTAGGCCATCTTTTCTTTTCTTTTTTTTTAAATTTTTTAGCATAAAAAGCATAGCCAGACAAAATAAGAGGTGGAAAAAAGGTTGAAAATTCTTCTCAGTAATTCTTAATTTTGAGAAGGGGCAAGTGTCCATACTGAAACTAAATCATGTAGAAAGTAATTCTTTTTCCTTAAATCTTTATTCAGCCCTGAAGGGAGAAGCTCCATTTATCCACTCAAATATTATTTACCAGTTAGGTTATGCTGCTTCCAGTTGCAGATTATGTGGAGAACAGTTTAGAATATCTTAATAATACTGCATTATTTTTATTGGCAAAATAGAAATATACTATACAATATTCTTTCTCTGCTGCACAGCATTTTTGCGTCATCTCACTACAGTAGTTTGGGTTCTATTTTAATTTTGTCACTTTAAATAAAAGGAACTGAAATTACTTTAGACACTAAAATAGAAGTGCCTATAGCCTTTGTTTCATTTTTATCATGTTTATATAAATATGTTTTAAACCCTGGTATTGTTAAAATCTGTTTCCCATGAAGGGGATAGTTTGTTACCTGCCAGCCTGGGAGTTCACACTCAGCCTTTTCCATATTTCTGTCAAACTGATCTCTCTTGTAGCCAGCCGAAAAAGTAATTGTTTTGAATATCTGTGTGAAAAAATTCCAGAATCTCTGAATTTCCCTTAGACAAAGCCTTTCTAACTGTCTTGTCACATATTTGAGATGTCACTGCTTGCTGTAGTGCTTTGAGAAGAAGCAAGGAATAGCAGGTTTACAGTGCAAGAAAACAAAATATGAAGTCTATCAGTTTTCAAAGTCTATTTTGAGTAAAATATCTATAATATCTGAAATGCATTTGTTTCCAGGAACAGTGTGACTTAGGTTTGGGTTGGTTTGTGCTGTGTCATTCAAGAAAGTAAATAGATATGCAGCATCCATCTTCGTTATCTGTATCTGCAAAGCAATCCAGTTGTATTTCCCTGCCTTTCAGCTTGCACTCTGCTCATAAGCTGAGGAACAAGCACAGTATTACATTTCTTTCATACTGCTGCTTAGGGAACGTGCTTCCTGCAAATGCCTTTTCACGTGTACAGTAGGAGAAGAGTGTGGAGCATGCACATGTTGTAAATCATCACATTTAGCATACTTAAACAGTGTGGACCACTTAGCTCTGCAGAGGGTAAACTGTTCTGTTAGCTCATCCACATGAGTGCTAGGAGTCCAAGGGGAGCCCTCAGAGGGCTGCAGTTTTAAAAGATTATGTGGTAGCTTCTGCTGTTAACAGGGATGAGAGGCAGTTGTGTCACCTTCTACAACCCCACAGTGGCCCAGAACAGAATGGGAAGGTGTACTGTGGCAGCCTAAAGGGAGATCATTTGCAGTCTGATTTGATCTGCTAGCTTCAGCTGGTTTTTGGTGTTAGTTTACATGTGAGGGGCAAAAAGATGTTGAACCAAAGCAGTGCACTGCACTGCAGCTGTTGATGCTGTAGCCTTCTTTGGCTGTACTGCTCTTTCACACTTGCTATCCTAATTGGTGTGTGTGTTTTTCAAAGGAAGAAGGAATACCAGTATTGGTACATACTGCAATTTAAAGTTGTAATGTGGTTGGGAGTTTTAATAACTGATGCAAGATAAAGAAGGCTCTACAGGGTTCCTTCTCTTAATGTTTAAATATGATCAGAGGTAGGCAAGTGTACTTTGCATTATTTATAACTTCTTCCACATAGCGTTGCCTAAACTGTGCTCCATAATGCTTCTCCTTTATCAGCTCCTTCTTTTCTGTGGTTGCTATTGTCAAACATTTGCAGTGAAATTTACAGTACTGTTTTATCATGTATCGTTGATTTAACGTTTGCAATATGTGTTTGTCAACTATGTAGTTAATGTTTATACTCAGATACCTCATCCCACACCAAAGACGTCTGTTGCTTTTAAATTATGCAGCTCATTGTGGCAGAAACGTCTTCCTGAGGAAAAC